ATTTTTTTAAAAAAATTCCATACTCTAAAATATAGTTTAGTGCTGTTTTTCAAAAATTTATTCAGTTAAAAAAACAAAGATTTCATTGAGTTCCTTTGACATGCCAGGCTCTCTAAATTAGGTTCTGGGAAAATAGGAAAGCCAGTCTCAACTCATGAAGAACAGTTAATATTGGTTAACACAAACACTTCATTTGACTCTGACCTTATTCCCACTTGATCAAAACTTATGCTAATCACAAAATGCAAACTATACCACCGAGGTAACAAGTTACCATCAAATCTACCACAATGATTTACTACTGGAACACATTTTGTCCGAACAATACTCCATGTAGTTGCCCATTCTCTCCAGTGCATTTCCTTATCTCATTAGGTTTATACTGAGAAACACAATTCCTAAACAAAAGTATAATAGCTTGCAAGAGAGGAGAAATTTTTTATGCTGTTGTTATTCCAATAAGCTCTGCAGAAATGAGGAACTGAAATGAAAATGTAAATTTAAAGGTAGTGAAATGGTTAATATGCTTTCAGGGGAAAATTCTTAAAAGTTGATTGTATCATAGATAATCTACAGAATTTTTCTTCCCCGTACAAAGAGTAAAAACCATATTATTTTATTTTACTAAGAGTAGTCCAGTCTGAATGTTAGAAATCTAAATTTTAACATACTTATAAGAGCATATACCATCCTTAACTTAATACAGATTGTCAGGCACATGCTGTAACAGTGAAGAACCACCTACAATTAGTTTATCAATTAACCGTAAATGGCCTCTTCTAATGTGCTTAAAAATAATCTTAAGTAAATATCACCCTTCAAATTTTATTTACAAATGATCAGTTTGTTTAGCAAACTTTTTTCCATGGACATAAAAGTAATATTCAACAAATAATTTGATCTGATTCTGATTCTGTTGAATATCCACTGAAGATGTGAAAAGAATCAGAAATAGGACATTCTTGCATGTATACAGGCAATACAATCACCATTTTCCTAATGAAAAGCACAAAAAGCTCATATGGGATAAATTCCTTGGTTTGATAACATCATTCTGCACAGCAACCTAGGCAGATCTAAAATGAAGTAGTACATTTCTTGCGGTGACCTAAGTAAGAAAGAGCTCAAAATACACCTTTAGTTTCTACAAAGAATAGATTCAGTTCTTTCCTTAGAACACTGACCTTACACAACTTATTTCTCCCTTCTACATATACTTATTAACTGTGCAAGTTAAACATAGCTATTACTATGAAAATAAGTTTGTTGATCATTACTAATATAATCTCCATGCTTTAAAAAAAATTACATTTCCAACAATTGCCAATTGAGCTTCAAGTTTCTTTTTTTTAATCTAAAAACAGTACTTTAGGGGGCTAGCAGGACAACTCCGTTGGTTAGAGCATGGTGTTATAACAATGACAAGGGTTCAGATCCCCACACCAGCCTGCCATCAAAAAAAAAAAAAGGCCAAAAACAAACAAAAATACCCAACACTTTAACTATACAAACTATATAAACATGTCAAATTACATTCATACTCACACTACACATAAGGTATTTTATATAACAGGTAAATGTATTTAGTATAGTCTTAAAAAAAAAAAAAAAAGAGCCTGGTTTGACTTTTTAAAATGAGCTTCATCTGGGTTACTCCAGTTTGTTTAGCAACCAACTCACTGACTCAGAGAATATAACGAAAAATGTTCCCCAGTCAAGGACTATCTCCTTGTACCCTTCCCAGTTAAATACCTTAGTCTATAAATGCAGGTTAATACATAGTTTAAGAACCATTATACTAAGGTAAGTTGATAAGAAAAGTTTATCTTCTTCAAAACTCAGTTTCTACATTTGCTTTAGAGAAGTAGTAAAAATTACTAAACTTCAAGTCAGAAGACTGGCATTCAACACCTGATTCTACCATCTTTCTGTTATACAACCAGAAACATGTGACCCATGTGAGAGGGGTAAATATCATTCTAATCTACCTTCATCACAGACCTTCACAAAGGTCTTACAGCTCACAATATTTCGGGGAGCAAATTTTTTTAAATGTGAAGTGACAAGTATAATAAACAACCACTCAAGTATGTGCAATACCAAAATATAGTTGATCCTTGAACTCGGGGGTTAGCGGCACCAACCCCCACAATGGTCAAAAATCCCAGTATAACTTTTGATTCCCCAAAACCTTAACTTTTAATAGCCTACTGTTGACAAGAAGCCTTACCTATAACAGCTGATTAACACATATTTTGTATGTTATATGTATTATATACTGTTTTCTTACAATAAAGTAAACTGCAGAAAACATTATTAAGAAAACCGTAAGGAAAACACATTTTAAAAAACACTTAAACACATTGAAAAAATTCCACGTATAAGTGGACCCACACAGTTCAAAACCATATTGTTCAAGGATCAGCTATACACCACAAGCACTAAAGCAAATGCTACAAAAAATAACATAGCAAAAAGAAAAAACCTCACACCCTTCCAAAATAAAAAATGTACTCCAATTAATAAGTTCAGGGACAATAAGGGACTGCATCCCAGATGAAAGATGGTTTCAATTTTAACTAAAACTGAACACATTCAGTTTCAGTTAAGTAAATTCATCCATTATCTTTTTTTTTCTTCCTAACCTTTATCATGGTTCTCAGATGTTTTTTCACACAAACACAGCAGTAATATTAGGCAAAGTGTAGTTTATCCCCAAAATACTTATGTCAAAGTAACAAAGATTGGAGCAAAAATATCTCACAAATAATGTGGCCAACTATAACTATGTAAGGGTCAAGCCCCTAATTAGCTTGGGGGCAAGATATCATAAATATCCAAAGGGGCATTCCACATTTTGAGAGTATAGATAATTTCTGAGCAAACTTCAGCATGAGACCAGTCCAGCTGTAAGCAAGTTCCACACACTTTGAGTACTGGCTTAAAGTCAATCCTGCTTTCATAACTAGTTAATAACTGCACCTGAAGAATATAAATTTATCTAGTAGCCAGTGGCAAGGAATTTCGAAGTGCTGACCTTCTGGAAGCAGTGAGCAGCAAACTACCCTAAGTGAGAGTCTAAAATTATTATCTTCATTGGGCTTCAGAAGCAAATCACTATATTAAAACTACAGTTAATTAAATTTCCCTCAAAACCTTAAAGGCACCACAATAAAGCACAAGACACCAAATTTAGGTTTTAGTCCAAGCTCTAACTCTGCTGTGAATAACCTTCTGTCATTTAATATGCTCATTCATTTCTTCTGTAAAATAGAAAGAGCAGAGATATTTCAAGGTATCAAAACTAACAGTGGAAAGATTAAAAGTTCTTAAATTAAACATGACCAAACCTTTTGTTGTAAGAATTAAATAAAATTACACAGGTAAAACTGCTCAAGAGCAATCCTTACCACATTTTAAACACTTAGTGTTAGGTATTGTTATTATATATCAACTTTAATCAATTGGGAAAACATATAAAAACCAGATAAACAAACAATACTTAACAGCCCAAATCTTGGCCATTATCCATTCAAAATCTTAGTGTAGCCTACCAGACAACACAGTTGGAAAATAACAAACTTAAGACCTCTTTGCTGATAGGCTTTTATATTAATATTTCATTAGCGTAAAATAAACTCTTCTTAATTCTAGCTGTCATAATTTTTTAAATTATTCCTTTCTTTTAAAAAAATCCTTTGAATCCTAGAATCACAAATTCTTCAGATAAATGTCTTCTCCATTTGTTTCAAATATTGATCAAGCCTGAATATTCAAGCATAGAAACAACAAATTACAGGTGTACCTTTGAAAATGCTGTTTGGCAACCACCACAAGAATTGTTTTGGCTATCCATTATACCATTTGCAAATAGAGATAACACCAGAGTGTAAATTATCTAGAGTCTTAGGAAAACAATAGATTTAGTGATCAAGAAGCAGGATGTGTGAAAAAGAAAGGGGACACCACTTGAGAAAGATGCTCCTACTCCTCTACAACCTGGCTATATAATTTTGGGAAAGCTATTTGATCTCCCTGAGCTTCATTCTCTTTACCTGTAAAATGGGAATAATCCTACTTCTCTCACAAGGTTGTTCAGAAGGTCAAATGAGAAAACATACAGGAAAGCACTTTATAGCCTAAAAATTGCAAGACAAACATAACATCATATTCATATTTTTTGTTGCTGTAGCATAAGCAGTAAGTTTTGTAACAACACACAGGTTAATTTACACTCTAAATACAGAATTTTAATTTCAAAGTAAACCATTACCATTATTCAAAATTGCTACTTAAAAAAACTTGCCTTGGATTGAGCTCTCTTTCCATTTCTCGTGTTAAATTTCTCTTTCATTTCTTCCAAGATTATCTTCAGTTTCTTTTCCTCAGGTGTCCCTAAGTATTTTTGGTTCACATGAAGATAGCAATGCCATTTGGCAGATTCAAAGCCCCAGTGGCAAGTTCTTTTGTCAGGTGATCTGTGAGAATGCATCACAAATGTCTGGGGTGCAAACATTCCACAGCACTCCAAACACTGAATACATGGGGCATCAGGCTGAACATAAAACTGGGGTGCAAACAGACCCTGACATTTACCCAAGCATTCATGTTCCACTTCAAAGGCACTGCCAGTTTCCTTTAACTGGGCCAATGAGTTTTTAGCAGGAAGTATGCTACCATTTTGAGGAAAAGTCCGTGGCCGCAATAAAGCATTACATAGTCTTTGTGCATCAGTTAATGTAATCAGCCCACAGGATGGGGCATTGAATGGAAGTATTCCCAGGACCTTTAAGATATGAAGCTGGTCTGAAGTACACCTTGAACAATATATGTACAATTCATCACATACTGTATTTATTTGCTGGAGTGAAAATTCTCGAAGAACAGAATTTAAGACTTGGGGCAAACAGAGTCTCTTTTCTCCTCCAACTTGAAAACAAGAAATAGACTCCCCTTCCAACATTGTCTGGGTGAGTTCTGTGGAACTATCAGAAGGGATGAGCAGTGGGCCAGAAAGAACCTGAGGAGACGGAAGAGGCAGAAATACAGTAGGTGACATGCTTTCTTGGGAATACCGAGCAGAAAATGCTGCTGGCCCACCCAGAGAGCTCTGACTACTTAAGTGGAATTGTGCTAATGTGTGTTTCAAACTCGGATTTAAATTTAAAGGTTCAGGCACAGAAGCACTGGTTCGCTTGACGTGGTCTCCATCAGTTTCCATAGGTGCTTCTCCATAGTCATCCAAGTGTTCCTTCTTTACTGTTGGCACTTTATTTATCATTTTTCCATTTGCATGAATGTCTGTCATCATTTTTTTTGCTGGAGGGCTGCCATCATCTCCCATCCCATTCAGTTTTTTATTTGAGCCGTGAACCAAGGAGAAATTTGTCTGTAGGTTTTCCATAGCTACACCACTATGCTAAATAATTAAGTCTGACATTTGCATTTTTATTTAGTTGCTTATTTGAAGAGAAAAAAGTAATGTTTACAACTAATTATGGTAACTAACTCACAGAAATTTTAAATTTCCAAAGAGAGATCTCCTCAAATTACTCAATAGATTTTGCAACTTTGTTTTGGTTCTGCTTATATATAATTTCACTGCAAATGCTATAAAATTTTTCGTTTTGCCTCTAATAATAAAGAATATAATTTTAAGAGGCACACCTATGAGGAAGCCTTTGTTTTCTTGAATTCCTCAGATACAAGTATTAAAATAAAGTTACCAACTTTTCAATTCAAGATGTCCAGGTTCGATGCAATGGTTTGGTTTGAATTTTTTTTTTTTAAGCAAAACAAGTGGAAAGTTTATATGTTATTTGAGTCATAAAACCTAGATTCAAACACAAGTCAAAATGATGCGACCAAATTTAATTTTTGCCACCAAGGACACAAAAAAAGAGGGTGAAAGGAGTATCTCCTCCAAAAACGATGGTCTGTTGGTCTGTGTTGAAAAACTGAAGATTTGTATAAATCCTCACAGCAGTAAGAGGAGCCTCTGACTCCACTTCAACTTCTACAATCCAAAATGATACTTAAGGAAAAATTGCCCAGTTATCTTCGAGAATTACAGCTCATTCTTCTTTTAATTAATCTGCAAGAAGAGAAGGGGGTTGGGGGAGAGTTACATTTGAATTTGCTCCAAAGGCCAAAGGGTCAGTTTGAAACCAGTTTCTTAATCTTAAACTGAGTTCACTTTACCAAAGGTGACACTTGAGTGATTTCTTTAAATCTAACACCCACTAACTAAAAGGACCTCATTTAAATAGGAAAGCAATTTGGAAGGTGGGTAAAGGGAGCAATAATATCCCTCTCAAAAGGAAGAAGGCTACTCCAATTCAGAGTATGAAGAATCTTAAACAGATCATCTCACCCAAAACTAAAGGCTTTTTCAGGTATGCCATTTTCAGCTTTAAAAAACCCAAAAAACAAAACACATATTACCTCATTTCCTAATTAAAAAAAAAAAAAAACCACGAGTTTCAGCAAAAAAAAATCTGATATAAGTTAGCATACCAATCATATGTAACTAAGTTACAATCTTAAGTGCATTAATTCATCTAGTCAGTGTATGCTATTCTTCTGGAACGACTGTGGACAAAAATTAACTTTCCCTTTAAAAGGTTAGCGATTCTGCTTAATGGAAACCAAAAACTGGAGACTCCACACATGGGAATCTCCATCCTTGAACAAGACTAATCCGGGACAAAAAGCACAAGGCAGACAGACCTCACAAAGAATGCAAATGGAGGAGGAGGAAAAAAGAAAAGATTCTTCTTCCACTTCCTTCTTGAGAGAAAACCCAAAAGAAATGTAACAAATAGAAATATTTGCTTCCCAAACTCCCAGCAATTTACCTTAAAACAGACCCAAAGGATTAAAGACCAAAGCCAATAGCCTTCGTACTGACTTTCGTCCACCAAAGGAACACCTCAGCCAACGCAGGCCAAAGAAGAGGGCAGGAGGCATGACCCAGGATGAAGGAGCCCCTAAAACCCTGAAGTACTCCGCCAACGCCAAGCCACCCATCCACCTCTAACACGAAGGGGGGAGCACAAAGGACCCGGGACGCCTGGAGGTGTGCAAGAGGGTGGAGAGAAGTGGTGGGAGAAGTCCCCCAGCCCACATCTGCGAGCTTGGGGTAACCCCAAGTATCCTCCCAACACCGCCCGGTCGCGGAGACCGCGGGGAGGACTGTGGAAATCCCCTGCGCACCCTCTCCCTCGGAAGTTCTCGGGTGTTACCCCAGCGCCCCTAAAGCTGCACCTCCCCCGGGCCCTCCCCAGGCCAGAATGAAGAGGGGACCGCGGGCAGGTCAGAATCTCAGCCCGGATCCCCGCGCCGCCGGACGCTGACCGACCCAGTCGAGCCTAGGGCATCCCCGCGAAGCGCAGACGAACGGGGGAGGGGGGCGGTGACGGACATCTCAGTCTCCGGGGTCCCAGCGGCCCCGGTCAAGTGCAGTGCCTTTTCCCTGTCCGTGCCCACCGGCCGGGGTCAGCGAGTCATGATCCGCTGTAAGACACCCGCCTCGCGCCCCCCTCTGTCCCCGACCCCACCCGGGACCCGCGCATCCGGACCCCCAACTCCGGCCTCCGCGCCCGGGGAAGCTCGACGAGCTTTGTTAACTCCCCACCACCCCTGTCGCCGCCGTAGGGCTGCCCGGAGGCCGCGCGCGCCCTTCGCCTCCCGCCGCCTCCGCCGCGTCCCTCCCGAGAGCCGGGACCGCACCTGTG